AAATGAGATACTTTAAATTTGATGCCATTATGCTGCTGTTTTTTCCTTCCTCACTTCAAGATAACAATTACTAAAGCATGTTTGTTTAACATGTACTAATTCAAAAGTTAAAATTTTTATTTCTTTAAAGCCTAGAAATTCTCAATTTTAAACCTTGTGAAGCTATCCTTTGTAGGAGGGACTCTACAGAACTGCCAAACCTTCAAGGAAAAAAAGAAACAAGATTGTATCAGAAAGACATGCCACCAAAAAGCAGAGTTTCTTTCTTGCCAGCAAGAGAAATTACTAATGTGCATTGCAATTAGTGCAAAAATCAGTATTATTTTTGCAGTTGCAGGCTGGGAAAAACTGCTATGCAAATGTCAGGTGGAAAAACTTTGAGCTGTCTTAGAAGTTATGCAATATGTACATATTTTTTCTTCTCAAATGTTTAACAACTGTGTATTATTAAACACCCTCAGGTGAGGTCTTCACCATCTTGCTACTACAAATTGTAGAATATTGCAGAATTCTCTAATGATCAATAAATTAATAAAAAACCAAACCATGACCTCAAAAAGGCCAGTCGGGCTAGCTTAACATTTAATGTTAGAGCCTGCAGGAAACACATGATCCCATTCTTTTCTCTGCTCTACAGAAAAAGCTTCTCCAGCAAGTGCAACAGTGTGAGGATGCAAACCTTGCCAAAGCTCAATGAGTTAAAGAACAAAAGTACGAAATGGTTTTGCTTGCAACATCAAGGGCTTGGACAAAGCAACCCATGTCCTGAGTAGTAGAGAACGAATCGAACATTTTTGAAACAGAAAAGCTAGGCTTGCCTCTGTCTCTTCACATATGTGGCATTTCCACATGCCAACCTTCCTGTCATTTATTATCAATAATATCTGTGCTTGTTTCCAGACATACTGTCTCTGCTTCAGAGACATTCCATTTTCAGTTTGCCCTCATTTGACAAGATAACGATGAATCCCAATTTGGAAAAAATACTGGCAGAATTACATTTTTTTTTTTTTTAAACACAAGACCAGTATATTTCTTCAGAAACATAGTCGTAGTATTCAACTTTAAATACATTTCAGAAGCTTAAAGTACGGGTGGCTACAAATATAAGCACCTGGATCTGGATATAAGATGTGAGTTTTATGTAAGGACAAATTTACATAGCACAGCAAGAAGGGAAAGGAACATCACCCTTAAATGTTAAATGAGAAAGCAAAAAGCTACAGGTAATAAAAATGTGAACAAGTGAGGAAAAGGAAAGAAACAGATGCACACATCATGGTATCTTCAACTTCAGCTATGCTGTCCCACCAGTCTGAACAAGCACAAGGTCATTAAAGAGCTGCAACACAGATAGCAAGGAAACAAGAGGTACATTGTGCAGTGTTCAACTCTGGAGCTGGTAGCAGGGAACTGAGACAGAAGAAGAGATGAAAAGCATTTCTTGTAATCCAAAGAATGCAGCAAAATTCAAGAATGCCAGTGATAACATTGTCAAAGCAATCCCAGTTTTTATTCTGTACTGACTCAGTCCAAAGACAGGATGAGAAAGCTGTGTACATGGTTAAATTGAAATGTGCAAGAGAAGCAACACAAATGCAAGAGGCAGCACGTTTCCTTTGAGATTATTTCTCAATTATTAACTTCCTGGCACGTCAAACTCTCCCTGAACCAGAGATCCTTTAGAGAGTACCCAGGAACTTGTCCCATCTCTTCATTCCTCTCAACAGATACTGTCAGCAAAGATGGGGTGGGAGGGAGGAGGGCAGGGAATCACGGCGAGATTGATGAATGAGGCATTTTCTGATTCATGATCTGGGACATTCTAATGAAAAAGAAAATCCACTCTTCTTACATGGCAGAAATATGTTTCTGGAAGTAGGCACACTCAGGTTTGTAAGTCTAGCCAGTAGTAGAAGTATCTCTTTGCTCAGGAGGGTCTAAGACATCTACTTAAATGCACAACACAGCCCACAAAACACTCCAGCATTTACAGCTGGAGGATACAAATGAAGTCCTAATGCTCAACACCAACAAAGTCTGGTTTTGTTGTTTAATAAACTTCCCAGAGAATGTAATATCTCCCTTTCTGTGTTTGGAATTCTACAGTTCTCCTGAATGCCCTGTTGGTTTCCAACAGATCCCAGCTCCAGGACTCACAGGTGTGATTCATATTTATTAGCCCCAACTGAATTCCTCTTGCACTCCTCAGAGCTTTGTGGCAAGGAGTTCCACAGATCTAATTCTTGTGGTATGAAGAATTACCCGCGTTTTGTTTGTTTTGAACTCTGTTCTTACTAGCTTCATTTGATATCCATGGGTTCTTGTACTACCAAAGTGAATAAAATAAGCCCTGTTTGCCTTCATCTCATTCAGGATTTTGTAGGCTTCCCTCCTGCCTTAAGCTCTTTTTCTTTTGGACTGCAAAGCCCTAGCTTGCTAAATTGCTCTCATCTCTCCTCATCCTTACTGCCCTCCTCTAAGCATTTTCCAGTTCTGCTACCTTCTTCTCTGAGATGAGGGAACCAGACTGCAAAGATGATCCAAAACATTTATATATTGGTATAATGTTGGTTTTCTTCTGTCATTTATTGATTGACACTGAATAAAAGTGCATTATTTATTTTTTTTTTTAAGTACAAAAATCTATCACGGCTCTATGATTTCAGCTAAGAACATGTGTTTTAATAAACCACATACTACAAGCTGACTCCTTCTATTGTGTCCCAAAAGAGACAGCAAACTGAAGTCACATAGTAATAACAAATTAGATTAGTGATGCTTATGAGGAAAAAAAAATGGTTTATTCAAAACAAGTGAGGGTAAATAAGGAACTTTCCCCATGTGGAAAGCAAGCACCATCTTCACAAATTTTCAGCAGGTGCACACCTCCTGTTCTCATACAATGAAATCATTCAAAGAGAATAGCTCAAATGGCTCGTTTCAAAGTGACAAATAAAGGAGTGACACTCCAGTCACCTGTCAGCTAGCCACAGGCTTGCTCCATGGAAAGAAATTTACTCAAATAGTCACATCAGATACTTAAATATTTTAACTTGGCAGAAGAAAACCTGAGTCAATACTACCACATGCTCAGTTTTTAGGAGTTACAGACTAACATATATATATATGTATATATAGTACTACTTCACCACAGAGAATCATATTCTTTAGCAAGAATATGTTGTCAACGGAGGGCAGCAATTCATACCCTGGAAAAGTCTGCTTTAGAAATTATCAACTGATTTATATTAGAGATATATATCATGCCCAGAATGTGAGACTGAAAGTATTTTAATGAAAAAGACCTTCCAAATACAGGACGACTTAAGACAGTGTCAGTCTCTAAAGCTAGATTCCAAGACAACATAACATTTTCAATGCCATGGGAGTTAGACTAGATGATCCCTATGGTCCCTTCCAACTCTAAAAATTCAGTGAAATTCAGGACATACCTATATACACACATGTACCCCACATTTCAGGAAAGCTCCTATACAATGTAGTACCTATATACACACACGTACGCCACATTTCAGGAAAGCTCCTATACAATGTATGAGGTACATTTTATATATGTGTATATATATTTCTACTAGTTAACATTCTACACTATATTAAGGACAATAAAAGTAAATACTTTCAGTCACACAATATAACTGCCTACCCTTACAGGTCTGCACTTTAGTCTTTCCTGTAGTAAGAAAAAGCTGCTGTACATTGATGCTTGCCTGTACTTCAGATACACTGAACTTAAACATACGTTTAACAACCACAGTATTTTTCCTGTTCAGTTATACTGGTCCCTAACTAGCTTCAATTATCAATAGACTACTACCACAAAGTATTGTATTTGCAATAGAAGTTGTGTAACACTATTCTATACATGAAAGTGTTGAAGGAGGTGTGACTGGTATAGATGCTTACCACTTAAAAGCTGACATATGTACATAAGACACATTAGCTTTAAGGAAGGCCTGTAATCTGTGACAAAGCAGAGAAGAAGCTGCATGCTGCTCACAGACCCCAGAACATACCAGAAGAGTGAGTTTCCCCCACTTGCTTCACTAACTTCATTTACACCTTAAACCAGATGACTCAAAAAATCAAAGCAATATGAAAAGTAATACCAATGCATAATCTGACAGTACATATTCTTGTAGTGTTTAATTCCAAGCCTTGATATTTTCAGTACATTAAAATTTAACCACATTATCAGGAAAAACATTACCTGCTACTGTTTTCTTTTCCTGACATCTCTTCTGGATACTTGGCAATGCCTGTCTTGCCAAGCTGAGGATGTCTCCTTATATCCAGCACTGCATTTTAAATGTATGCTCACTTTAAGAATGGGAAACAGTTGGACCGAAGGGTTGTTTGGGGTGCAGTGGGGGTGTTTTACATAGTCACAGTACTTCTCCTGCAGAACTTTTATTGAAGAAAATGAAATGCCCCACTGCTCAAATGAAGTGAAGAACTCTATCAAACCCAAGTGGGTTGGGGCCCTCTGCTCAGAGCACACCTACAGCACGACCCAAGAGGCAGCTGCAGCCTGCAAGCCCCAAACCTGCTCTACAAGTCATCTTACCAGCTGTTGCTGGCAATGAGAGCTGCTGCCCAAGAGGGTCTGACAGCTGGAGGAGCCAGGAACAAGAGCCTCCTCTCGTTCAGGGCACACTCCTCAGCGGCAGGTTAGCCTTGGGTGTCCCTCTTGCACAGCTGGAGGGAGCATCTACTTGGGGATCACATCATCACAGGAGAGAGAAACTTGGCAGGACCATTGCAGGTCTGCTCCGGAATACAACCGTTTGAGAAAACAGATGTTGCACAGAGCAGGAGATCTTGCTCAGATTTCTAACCTTAGGAAGAAAGGAGGAATGATGAATATATATTTATGAAGTTATTTAAGCTTTAGAGTTCTTGGCATGCTTTATGTGCAACTACTTTCAGAAGGGAGAAGGAAAAGTCTTCTTTGAAGTTTTTTGGTCATAACTTCTTACCTGCAGATGAGGATACAGTTCTTATACAGTAGACTTAGCGAATTCTGCTACTCCAGGCACAGGTGTCAACTCTGCTGACAAGTCAGTTGCTAGAAGAAAAAATTAAAACATTGTTGTGAATTAGTAAAACTACCTTCTTGAGGGTAAAGTCCTATTCCTGGTTCTCCTTTCAATGCTTTGGAAAAACAGAGTATTCATCTAGCACCTATGAATACATAACACTCTGCTACATACATGTAGCATTTCACTTTTAAAAAGTTAGTTCAAAAGAAATGCAGAATATTGCACTTAATTTGCTACCGCTTATACCTGATGTGACATTCTTCTGCTATAAATAACTACGTGTGGTAAACAACACTTCAACAGCTTTCCAGAACATTTATTAAAAACTAAGCACTGTATTAGGTAGTCATGAGAATCTACCACTGTGAAATTGTAAATATAGGAGATTATTTCACAATCTTCTTTCTTAATTTTTCTTTTTAAGGAAAATAATCCTCAAACTGGAAGCGTTCCAGACATAAAAACCTCCAAGTGCTCTCGAAGTGCATACCCTGACTTCCTTGCAGTAGTGAATCTTGGCCAATGCATGCATAAGAAATCAAACAAATTAGGCAAAGGGTAACAAATCCCAAACTGCTGATTAAGACTAATATTAATCAGCTTGGAAGTGGTGCTTACTACAATGATCTTTAACAGCATCACTGTGACAGACTTACAAACATTGCCTAATACTATCTCATAGCCAAGAAGAACATGTGAGAAGTGGTTATTTTTAAACCTTCACCAAAGACTCTCTCAACAATAGTTTAAAGGAACAGATCTATTATGCAAAACACTAAATGGGAACTTTACTGTTTGACAGAAGCATAGAAGAATAGACATAAACTGGGAAAACTTTCCTGTAGTCTTTTAGTGCCTCCCCTTTCAATGTTGTCAGCCACTGAATTTTTGTCAAGACAAACTGGTTTTCTCCTAGTACCTGTCAGAGCTATAAGAAAAGATCCAATAAGCACCATCCAACAGTGTGTGTCATAAAGGTCCAAAAAACAACAAAAATCTCTTATGGATTTAGAAAGAAAGGACTGGCCTGTTGTAAAATACTAGACCACACACACTACACACTGAAGCCCTATAGGAGTAATTATTTCTCTCATTATGGCCAAAAACTTCAAAATAAAGAGATTCAGGAGTTCCAGAGATCTCAGGCACATATCAAATTGTTTTCACCACCACCAGCTGAATATGTAGCCTTCATTCACAAACCAATATACATTAAATTCCTGAGCTGTCAGAATATGTTTTTGTGAAGTGATGTTTTGTGCTTTATACTCCTGTGGACCCGCTAACAACTACTAATAGATCACATCAGCCTTTTACTTTAGCTCTGAAATGACCATAACCAGTTTCTGGTGAGTTTATGCCTCCCAACTGAGAAGCTCTCATGTAAGGAAGAAGTGCTTGTTAAAGATCATTAATGTATTTGCTTGCAGTTACAGTATAGAATATTGCTGCAGAGTCTCAACTCCAGTTTATTCACCACGCAGTCATAACTAGAGTCAAACATTCGCAGATAATGCTGAGCATTCATTTAACCCACCTCATCAGGTTATATCAGCAGCACTTGAGCCTAAATTACTTATCAATCCCCATATATACACATTAGATTAAAAAAAAAATAAACGTGGTTGTAGGATACAGATGGTGACTCAATTAATCCAGAGACGTATATGCTTGAATTTTACTGGGGGAAGGAGAGGTAGGAGAGAAACATCGTCTCACCACAAACTATGAGAGTTCAGCTTCGAGATGCTAAAACTGCCTTCATCTATTGCAAACTGCCAAGACAGAAGTAGTAAACATTACTGTTAGTGTTCCTTGTTAACTACTCCGGAGCACTGCAAAGAATAGGGGATTTTTAACCTGAGAATGGAGTAGCTGTGATGCTGATCCAGCAGTAGGGACCAAGGCTTCCACTAAAACAGAGCTGCATTATCTTTAGGTCTATCAAAGCACTAAAGCTCTTCTCAGACCTCTTTGCAAACGGAGTGGGAAGCACTAAGGATAAGAGCCACATTCTGTCCTTAGGGACCCCCGTTAAATCAGATTCTTAACATCAGCCACTTCCTCTTTGTTTTCCTCAAGCCATATGGCTTCCTGACAAAATCTGTACAAACAATAAATCCATTAATCACACCAGTGCTGGAGGAAAAGGGTTTGTGGTTTTTTTCCTTCCCTTCATCAATCCAGGCATTTTAATGGAGATGTTTGATGTATTTTATTTTATGGAAAATACTAACGTCGTCTTTGTTTTCACACTGCAGCCTTGTAGACTGGAGCCCCAGTTCCAGCACATACTTCGAGAGGAGATCTGACATGTTAAAATGCAAAAAGATACAGTAATAGAAGTCAGTCAGCCCAACAAGAAAGGAGTTGAGCCTTATTGAATCTGTTAGTAGGAACACAGTATAAATTGCTACCTAGGCTCCCTAACATACCAAGTCAAAAAACAAAATAACAAAACCTTTTTTTTTTTTTTTTAAATTTACAGAATCAGGTAGAAGAAGAAAGGCATTAAAAGTCACTTCTCTTCCTACAAGGCTCTCAGAAGCTGCATACATGCAAATGCCAGAAGTAGCCATAAGTGGCTGAAAAGAGCTTCTTTTAAGAGATGCCACAATAAAGGACTTTCCCAGAGGCCAGATTTCTTGGTGAGGTGAACCAAGATGACCAATTCCACACAACATGCTACATAATCTGGTATCTCCAAACTGGTAAAACCATGCAGGTGACCATGTTATTCTTGACACCATGAGGAAATAAACACTGCACATGCAAGGAACTCTGTGGTAGGGAGGGAGCACATAAAGAAGGAGATTTCTAGCTCTTGTAGGTGGGAAACTCCCTTTCTTGCAGGTGGGAAGATCCCACTCCCCTGTGGGAGAGGGGAGAAGAGAAATAAACCCAAACCGTAGAAGAAGAAAGGCATTAAAAGTCACTTCTCTTCCTACAAGGCTCTCAGAAGCTGCATACATGCAAATGCCAGAAGTAGCCATAAGTGGCTGAAAAGAGCTTCTTTTAAGAGATGCCACAATAAAGGACTTTCCCAGAGGCCAGATTTCTTGGTGAGGTGAACCAAGACGACCAATTCCACACAACATGCTACATAATCTGGTATCTCCAAACTGGTAAAACCATGCAGGTGACCATGTTATTCTTGACACCATGAGGAAATAAACACTGCACATGCAAGGAACTCTGTGGTAGGGAGGGAGCACATAAAGAAGGAGATTTCTAGCTCTTGTAGGTGGGAAACTCCCTTTCTTGCAGAAGATCCCACTCTCCTGCCGGAGAGGGGAGAAGAGAAATAAACCCAAACCTAAGCAGGTTGATTGCTTCACCAAACAAACCAAACTTAGAATCATAGAATCATAGAATCATTGAGGTTGGAAGAGACCCTTGGGATCATCGAGTCCAACCATCTCCCCTACTCTACAAAGTCCTCCCCTACACCATGTCCCTCAGTACCACCTCTAAGCGTCCCTTAAACACATCCAGGGATGGGGACTCAACCCCCTCCCTGGGCAGCCTGTTCCAATGCCCGACCACTCTTTCAGTGAAAAATTCCTTGCTAATGTTCAATCTAAACCTACCCTGTTGGAGCTTGAGAGACTGTTCAGCTTCAGTTCTGCTGCTCAGTGTATACACAGGAGTATGCCAGCTTCACACTGCTGCAGAGTAAAATTCTGTTCATGAAGAATATATATACACTGTTGGGGAAGCACATAAAGAAAAAGTGCGAGGATGGTAAAGTATTCCCTTTCTTCCTACTCGATCAATAGGTTCAAACAGGGTATGAGGCCGAGAATTCAAGAGCACAGAAAAGATAAAAGAAACAAAGACCTAATTTTCTTTCCAACATCAGACCATTCTTGTACTCTCAATGTCACTTTGAGACACATGTGGAGTCTATGTTATCCCTGTCTATCCAAAGCAACTATTTGCATCACACCTTGGAGCCTACTCAGCAAAGAAGAAACAGATTTCCTAGTGATGACAGAAGAAGGGAGAACCAAAGATGATTCAACATACGAGTACATGATGGTATTACCAACAAAAGCAAACTGAACAAGGTTGACGTGTCAGTCACCACTTTAAAGAATATGAAAATGTGAAATGTCTGTTCTGAGGATCTGTTCTCACTGATGTTTTTTCCAAAACTTCTTTGGCTAAACTTTTATTACTCGATAGTCTGCAGTGCAGAAGGAGGATTAGGAAGAACAAGAAATTACTTTCAAACTCAGGTGGTCTCTTTCAGTAACACATTTCTAAAGCAACTGTGACCCTTCCACTCACATGGAAAGAAAACAGGGTTGGCACAGTAGCAAATCTTTTTATGTTAAAACATGTTGTTTTTTTCTTCACAGTTGTTCTATTGCTTACTGGGTGACCAGATCTACACCCCAGTTCATGTGAACCAAACTCTCTTGAGTTGAAATAAAGTTCAGGAGAAACACAAAGTAGTTTATGACACTGAAAAAGATCTTACAGAGAAACAGCACTAAAAAAGGAATGAAGTTGGCTTTTCATTAGTCTTTTCTCTTTTTTTCCTTTTTAATTTTTTTTTTTAAATACAGGAAAGCAGCATCCTCAATTACAAGCAGGTAATCTTTAAAATTAAAGCCCTTTCTGTCTTTGTTGAAGTTAAGTAGCAACTAGCCACAAAGGAAAAAATATGGAAAGAGCAATCTCAGAAGATTGAGTCATTATCTCCAAGGAGACACATCTGTAGTTTTAACAAGGTCAGAATGTTTTGGTCAGTTCTTTGGGGTAATGGGAGATACAGGATGTTAGCTTATGTTTCTATCAAGGTAATGACAACTCTGAAAGACCGCAGACATCACATGGAGCCTACCACTATGAATTAGCCTTGAGGTCATAATCTAAAAAAGATGCACCATCATACACAAAGTACAGATGGATTTGTAAATGCCTCTAGGCATTTACAGGCATTAAAAGGTAGTGCTGAAAGGTATGTTTGTTTTGGACAGAGTAGTTAAGAGGATCAGGTGCTGCGAGCTAGGGAGGC